TTGAGTGAGCTAACCAGATAAATGATAAGCATTACCATCTTCAGAGCACTCAAAGTAAATTCTCTCCCAGATCAACAGCTGTGAGATTCTGACCCTTTACTGATGCCCTATGGTCAGAATGTATCTCAGCAAACAGTCTTAATCTTTGTGACCGCAGCCTGGAAATAGCTGCAATTTCTGGTGCTCTCTAGCACATTTCTAGCCACAAGCCAGACAAGCAAGCTTTAGCTAATCTGTATTCAATATTCATAACTATATGAGAAATCAAAAAGGAAATAAAATTGTGCATTGGGAAAGACGTTTTGTTCAGCTGTCTAAATTGCCCTAAAAATCTTTGTACATGCACCCAGTGTCAGAATGCCTCCAGTGACTGTCCTTGCTTAGTATTTTGAAAATGCTGCTTTTTAGATCCAGGAAAGACATAACACTGAGCACTGGCAAGCAGCGTCACAGACTAATATTTTTCATTTACCAAATCTGACAGGGCCAAGGAGGCATTTAGGGCCTCCAGATGGGACATGCTTACAGCTGTTAAGAAAGCATTTCAGTCAGCTTTGTGAAACAAAGAGCAGAGAGTCTTTCTCTGATGCAGTTTTCACGTGTCCTGGCCAGGCTTCTTAGCAGTCAGGATTTTGTCACCAGCTTCTGTAAGGCAGGGATTTTGCCCTGTTCCTGCCCATTTTTAAGATTGCTTTGATGACCCAGCCTCAAAAAAAGCCAAATACAGTAATACCAGAGACGTAACCAGCAAACCAGCATTACTTTCTCCTTAGTCCCCAGGTAAAAGGGGGAGTCTTGAGTTTACTTGGAAAAATGTGAGATGGCAGTTGACAGTGACAGCTGTCCTGCTGCAGAACGTAGATTCCACCTCTTATGGTGCCACTCTTGAAAAGCTCCTGTGTTGAAATTGGAGGGTTTTTTGGGGGGATGGGGTTTGGGTTTTTTGGTAGCTCCACAGATCTGTTGCTTCTTTATTTACTCAGAGTAACATCTTGCACTTGATTCATGACAATCCCTGTTAACATTTGTATCTTGACTGTCAGCACAGAACCAATTCAATTGCCGTAAAGCCTGCCGAGTTCTGTATCTTTTATATAGGCCTCCAGATAGAAAATCTCGCTGAAGCTGTGTTCAGGCACACGTGTGCCACACTGGCAATGCTCTTCACAGGTGAGGAAAAAGTAGTGGGGAAAGAAGACACGTTCTGGGTGTGACTGAGTGTATAGCTCTTTATAACTACCTGAGAAGAGAAGAACTGACACTGACATTTTACTGATGTTAAACCAGCAGCAAAGGAGAATCAGGTTCCTATTTACATTTTCTTAGGCCTACAACACTGGCCCAAAAGTGTCATGAGATTATGGAATTTTTGTAAGAGAAATGTTTGGGGGTTTGGGTTTTTTTGTAGTTATTTGGCTTTTTCCTCCAGTCTTTCAATACTCCTGATCCCAGACATAATGAGAATGTACAAAAATAAAAGTAGCTGCATGGGAAGAGGGAGACTGGGCAGGTGACCAGAGAATTGTAACCTTCAAAATAAGTTTGTCGGTTTTGGGTACACGTGCATTTTGTGTGGAAATTTTAGATCAGCTTTTGCTTCCTCCCATTTCAAATTGAAGCCAGACAGTTTTGTAAAATATGTGCAGTTCACACTGAGGGTACGCACCTTGCTTGATAAAATAATTGCTAATGACCCACAAATCCTGTTCTGGGTCCCTCTACAAAGCAAGCCCAAACTGCATGTATTTGCAAAGTCTATCAACAGAGGAAGACTGCACTGCATATTGGTGTGGAAATAGGTACTGCTTTCCAAAGAAATCTGATCTGTTACCACCACATTCATTTCCCCAAGGCTTTTGTCTCAAAAGGGCAGTTTGCTGAGGAACCCTTCACTATGCCTTGTGCCCAATCCCCCAAGACTCATCTTTTCAGGTAGCATTTGAAATATTACAAAAGAAAGCAGAGGGTGGTTCATGGAAACACCATCCACATTTCAGCAGCAGGGTTCGTGCTGCATTTTACCCGTTTTATTCAGGCAAGGTCCTGGGTTTCTGAATGGTTTTCTGAATGGTTTTCTGAATGAAGGACTTCAATACTCCTTCTATCAGGTTTTCAGGAAGATGATACGCTTGTGACCTCCAAGCAGATAGTTTTTTCATTGATCAGCCTTCAGCATTTCCAAGTTATCTTATACCTGCATTCAGTATAGAGAAAATTATCCTTTAGCTTTTTCTAATGTTTCCTAATAATTTAAGCAGCCTGCTCCTGTAAGCTGCCGAGCACTTTGCAGCCCTGCTGCAAGGACTTCAGCTTCATTCAGTAAAGAGCGTAATCATGTGCATCAACCTCTTTGCTGAGCTGGAACTTGAGGGGATTCAATATCTTCCTGTTGAGGGCCTAATGCACTCGCACAGCCAAAGTGAACCTTCCTCTTATCCTTCCTCTTAAGAGAGGTGGTGTGCGCGTGAGGAGAATTTCAAGGCTCATTACAATAGCTTGTACGCCTGTAATAATACCGCTATACTGAAAATTATTTTCTCAGCGCAAATCAAGTTAAACGTACAGAGCATTCTTAGCTTTGGCGAGAAATCCTTTTGGGAAAAAATAGTCTTACCATTTCAGAGAGCACCATTTACTTAAAGCTTTCTTTGTAGTAATGAACATTTAAAGTAGCAATTCGTAACATTTACAGCTGTGGAAAACGTGCTGCACGCTTTCCAGTTCAGCCCCAGAGCAGCACTGAGGTCAGGACTGGAGGTCCCAGTATTCCCAGTGCATGAAGCCCTGGGCGAGCATAGCGCTGGGCAATGCCAGAGATCGCTCCTAAAATAAAAGGCGTGACAAGCAGCAAGCAGGCTGGAGGCGAACATAATTTTGCATCACTATGCTGCGTGCCTGCGCGGAGCATCCCTCCTCTGGGGCTGCGGTCCCCGCCAGCTGAGTGGCAGTGTCAAACGACAAGGCTGCCTGCGCCCCGGGACCCGGCACGCCGGCTCCAGCGAGGCGAGCAGGCTCTGCCAGCACTGCAGCAGTGTAATTGGTGCAGCATCTGCCCGAGGAGCGGCTTGCATGAGCTCGAAGCAGAGGCTGGAGAAGAAAACCTGAGCGGCCGTAGGGATATTTTTAAGCCAGTCTTTCAAATGCTTAGTGCTACGGTGTATACTGCTTTAGATTTGTAAGTGCCGACGCTTATTTTCAACGGCGCTGCTAACAGCAGCAAGCATCACAGTTTTGGGAACTATTTTCAGGATAGAGCCCTTCGCTTTTAATACAGGAGTACTTAAGTTGAGTCTATTGCAAAATATAGTTGTTAAATTCAATTGCCTCTCCCATAACTGTTTCAGGGTGATTTAAGGCTTCTCCTGTAAAATGGCAGTTATAAATCTATCAGAATGATCGAATTATTTATAACGCCTTGGGACCACAACTTGACTCCATGTTTTATATGGCCACATGGTGACAGTGACTATGATATTTTGAGTTTCAGAGAATTTTTACACGGTAACAGGAAAACTAGTGCTTTTCCAGCACTAGATTTAGCAAAATTCTGGAAAGGAGCATTAATAAAGTCTATTATAATTTTACCTGTCATCTTATCTTTTCTCTGCTCAGCTACTCTGAAAAAAAGTCTGCAGGCTCTTTCCTGACTTGCTCTGTGTCGCCGCACAGCTTGTGAAATGGACATCTTCCTTCATATGTTTTCAGATAAAGCCTTTGCTTAGAATTGTGTGAAGACTCCAAATGCTTAAAGGGAATAAAAATAAATCTATTTTAAAATAAAGATAGTGTGTTAATTATTCAGAAGTTTAGATGGGCAATTTTGTACCAATCAGTAGCATCATGTAGGAAGGTGGTAAATGATGAAAGATTTTTCTTAAAGACTGGTCACCACTTTAAGCATGCTTTAAATACAGTATTCATACACTATGCTCATAATATTTATTCATCATTCTTTAATCCCTTATGAAATGTTCATAAACATACCTTCTTAGTTAATTTCACATGTAATTTTAAATTTCCTTTAATGATGTTGTCCCGGACAGCAAAGCCTATCCAGGACCAGAATGTCACTAAATGAACAACTGCCATAGGAAGCCAGTGCAGCCATCCTCGGTAGACTTAGTAGGTTATACACTACCAGTGGTAGGCAACTGTGCTGTGATTCCCATAGGAGGCTATCAAAGTCAGCCTTCACTGCAAGAATGTCAACTTTGACTTAGGTTTTTAATGTTAATAGGCAGGACTGCATTATTATGAGAAGTAATACCAATGCTTTTTCAACTGAAAATACTAATACTGCCAAAAGTAGTTTTATTTTCTGTCAAGAGTATTGAAACATGACATTTTGTCTCAGATTGGTTTGAAAACTTTGTCGGGGTAGCACCTCCTGGGAGCTACAGTTCAGCCTTGTTCTGCACTGAGTCAAGATCCCTAGTTAATGTTATCTCCCATAAGGACATCCACGTTATGCAGTTCTTATTCAGGATTGTGCTAGCAATGGATAACTTTCTAGCATTGTGACCAGTACTATTTCAAATCTGTGACAATGGAATTTCCATCATTGCTTTGTGAGGTCCTTCCAAATACGCTCAAATTTGCTGGCCAGAATTGCTGTTTTTCCTTTTCCTAGACAGTGGTTGCTTACTGTGAGCATTACCTACTGCAAGACTTCAATGAGAGTAAATCTAAAGTGTGGTTCTTCTGGTCTGTAGTATTGATACGAGATACAGGCATAGACCTTCTCTGTGATGCAAAGGAAGTCTGTCCTTTGCTCTGTGTACCCACCAGTAAAATGGAGATTGGCCTTTTCATTCTCATTGGAAAATAGTGAGGCTCTTCATCTACATATTGGCAAAGTGCTTAAATGATGCAGTAATAGAAATATGCACAGATTAGTACCGATCAAGTCAGTAGTAACATGTTTTATCCAAGAGGCTTCAGCATATTTAATTTATCTTTTTCTTTTTTTCCCCTTTTTTTTTTTTGCTCTTATGTTCAAGATGTTGGAGCATTTTTTGAAGAGGGAATGTGGCTTCGTTACAACTTCCACTCCCCAGGGACTAGCATGAAGGATTTAGTTAGCCGAACACTTTTGAGTTCCACAGATGCAGAGATCACAGCACCCGACCTCAACTTGAACAAAGAAGAGCTCAGCTTCAGCTTCAGTACCACCAAGTCCCCTTGTGTCCTATTGTACATCAGCTCCTATACCCAGGACTTCATGGCTGTGCTTGTCAAGCCATCTGGTAAGCAACTGCTCTGGGCTCTCTCCATTGAAGGCACCATTGATAATAACATGACTTTGGCATTTAGCTGAAGGTTTGAACTAATGAGAAAGTCTCTTCACCCCTGTCATGTATAAGTAAAGTACACGGGACCTAAACCTGTGTTCTGCCGTACTAGGTTTTGTACTGATGTAACTGTTCAGTTCAGCGGGGTTTCACTAGACCACCCTCCCTCTCAAAACAAAATGAGGAAAAAAAAAAACCAAACCTGCTATAACAGTCAGATCCATGCCATGACTAGCATTATGGAGGGAACAAGTGGGCATCCACATGTAGGCACCTTAATTGTGGAATTCATGGCAATATCGCCATCAGTAGTGATATTCAGTGGAAAGTGTAATGTACTGTTCTGGAAATCCAGATACCCACTGAGGTGGCTAAAATATGGATGTATAGTATACAAGGTCCTAAACATTTTGGTGATGGGTGAAGGTTGCATATGGACCATTGTCTGTTACAATATTAAAACTGTATATAAACTAAATACACTTGGATTCCAAATAGTGCCTTAGTGCTCCATGAAAATGATAATTAGGATGATTTTAGTACCGTTCTCTTCTACGGGATAAGTGAATATGAGTATTCCACATCCCACTCATTTTTTTTCTTTTCACAGGGAAGAAAGAAGGTGCATGAGAGAAATCCCACATCAGACACCTAAACTATAGTCATAAAGGTCTCAGGCTGCTCTTTTGGGCCAGAATATTTCAGGTTTTGATCAATAATGGGGTCTGCATTTCCCTTTTCAAACATCCTTCCTTTTAATCAAATATTAAAATTTGTTACGAGAAGCAGACACTTCACTTTTGTTTAGAAAAGAAAAATCTGTCCGGCAGTATGTCATGAATATCAATTAACCACTTTTGACTATACTTTTCTAACAATATAACCTGAGGTTTTCATTTCACCATATATTATTAAATTTCCATAAAAGTCCAGACGGTCACCTGTCAACAACAATTAAATGTGAGAGCAAGAAAGTCCCTTGTGTAGATTATGTGTCAGTGTTAATTTGTTGTATTTTTGCCTTTATTCATTGCATATCAATGGTTTATTCTTTAGAAAACATCATGCTTTGTATAACTTCAAATAATTTTACTGCAGCAAGGATAGTAATGTCAACAATAAAGTGCTACTTGATGTGCTCAAATTTCTACCAATTGTCCATATCATTCAAGGCATAGCTCTGATTTGTTTGATTTGCAAACTGGAGTGTTTACAAACACTTTGGTTTTGAGATGCTGGTCATTGTCACACTTCTGGATTGTACGCTAGAAGCAGTTTTCAGCCCAGTAGCTTTATAATCTCACACACTAGCTCTTCTCCTGCTGCAGAGACCAGCTCTGAGAGCAATTTAAGTGTAAAATGATAATGGGTGTCTATAAAAATAAAGAGGAAAAAATAGCTGGTGAATAAAGATCAGAATATCTGAGGGTGCTTTTCACATTCCTTTCACCAGGGAATTTGCAAATTCGGTACAGCCTAGGAGGGACCAAAGAGCCATACAACATTGATGTTGACCACAGAAACATGGCGAATGGACAGCCCCATACTGTTAACATCACACGGAATGGACGGGACATAGTACTACAGGTAAGTTGTAAGTTGTTTGGTTCCATTACTTGTAGTTTGTAGCATTTTTTGTCTTGATGGTCTCCAACTTTCTGAAGATATTAGTGCAATTTAGGAAATAAAAAGTGCATTAGACAGGGTTCTGCTTGCAGATCACACTCCTCGGAGTTAACAAAAGCTATTCTCTCCCTCTGTTGCGTCGAATCATGTTGTTCTGAAATCCTCATTCTAGTGTGATGACAGTTGGGCTAATACACGTGTCGCTGTAGATGCTCGAGGGCGTCACAGACATCTGGGCCGATAGATAACATGGGACTTAGGATAAACCAGCACCATTCTGGAACAGCAGCTGGAAGCTGGGAGGGATACCCTACAGCATCTTAAGTGGCAGTAGAGCCTGATGCACAGACAACTAAATATCATGCCGTAAGTCCTGACTCTGCAAACGAGAATGTCTTTAAATATAAATTTACCCTGCAGTCCAGTGAAATCAGAAGAGCTGTTCTGCAAAGATGAGCAGATGCTTAAATGTTTGTGTGACAGGAGTCTGAGACAGAGAGTATTATTGAAGGCACATAGCTCTGGCTTATTTAATTTTTGGTACAGCACAGGCAGAAACTTCATCTCTCCGTATCTCAGTTTACAAACCTTTGAGATAGTGTAATACTATTTAAATAACTGAGGGGAGCACTGCAAGAAGCAATCAATATTTCCAGGCAGCTTTTCCTCTGTGGTCATTACAGCACTCTGTTTTCATTCCCTGGTTGTCACATCTGCAAACATGGAGATTGCAGCAGGGTATGAGAACAGTTTTGTTGGCAGGAGAGTCAGGTGGATGGGATAGATTAATCTGGATTTGATAGTTCACAAGAAGCAAACCAAAACCAATAACAAACGAAATATAAAAAGGGGAAGTCTCCTTGGGAACCAAGCCAAAAGGTGAAGGATAGTAGCTGTCACAGTATTATCTACTGAAAGATTAAAATAGATCCCTGACAGCTATTGTTTCATGGCATCAAAAGGAAACTTTTTCAATGTCATTTGACTGAGGCTCTTGGTACTCAGAATAACACTGGATGCATTGAAGTTGAAGTGCCATAAAATTATTTCCAAAATGCCAGATAATCTAAAAAATACATAGGTGATACATGCAAACACTTTTCAGGCTTTTGGAGGTTGGGAGGGGTATATATTCATATATGCTTCTTTCTTGCATGCTGTTGCGTTTGGATTTATTTCTCTTACTGCTAAATGGAAGCTAAATAAGACCTACGGTTAGGTTCCGTTCTGCTGTTAAATGCTTCTATTTTGGGGGCGTACAGTGTGTTTCCTATGGAGTCATAGCTGGTGGATTTAGGCACCTGTAAAACTAAATAAATTATTTTCTGAAGGGATCAGATGAGGTACCTTGCCCAATTGGAAAATATGTACACAGTTAAGTATCCCAGCCTTGCATCATCTCACCTACATTTGGGGCCCAACAATATGTTATTTTCACAGTGTTATATGAGACTGCTGCCTGTCTAGGGCTTTGAAGAGCCAGAAACATTTTGGTTAGTGCTGGGCTGCTGGGGTAAAAATTTCTTAATCTAGTCAGTGTGCTTACAACCCAGCTGGTTTATGTAGTCAGAAAGGAGACACATTTGATGCTTATTAAATGAGACGAACTGTCTGATGCACATGCAAGAATAGGGAAAGGAGGGACCCATACAAAGCAAATCCAGAAATCCTACTCCTTCTGTATCCTGGAACAGAAGATTTCTATCAAATTTTGTTTATTCTCCATAAGGAAGTTGATTTTGTTACTTATCTGGTTATGTTCTGTAAATGAGAGAACTGATACGTACAGAAGTTGATCTGTTGATTGTTCACTTGAAAATGAGTCCTGTTTTGAAATATAAACTCTTCATGGTGTCTGAAAATACAGAAGATATAAATATGATTTTTCTCAGTATCCAGAGGACAAATCATAAAGTATGAGTTTTCTCTTGCAGATCTGAGCAATGAAAATTTGAGTAGACTTTTATTTCCTGCTAAATCCTTCTCCAACCTGATGAGCAGCTGGTTTGCTTGCTTTTAAGGAAGACAGCTTGCTTGCCAGGTGCTGTTGCTCACACTTCCACATCTCTACATGGCATAAAAGTGTCACAAGAAGGATTTATTTCTCATCAAAGTTTCAATTCAAGAGCACTCAGTTAGTATTTTTGAGATCTTAACAGCAAGTTCATACTTAGAATACCTGTTTTTTCTAACTTAGTGTAGTACCCCTGTAGTGCCGGAGAGATTTAAAAAATCTGCAGCCAGGCAATAAATTGCTACCAGATGAACTATGTGAAACGGAGTTACAGCATAATTCTCTGGAGTTTCACTTATATATAAATACAGTAAAAGACTCATTATTGAACTCTGTGAGACCTCACCTGATGCTGGCAGACAGGAGACCACTGATTACTTACATAAAATCAGTTACTCTCCAATCAGTCTGAATTTGACGTGAGCTTTGAAATAAACATATCGGCAATATTGTATATCCATAAGGTAATAAACCAGCACAAACCCAAATATTTAGTGTGAATTGTTTTCATTAGAATTACATCCCTATTCCTAACACACCAATATAATCAAGACTAAAGGTAGTATCAAAGACTCTATCAAAAGGTTTTTGTATTTCAGTTTTCTACATTCACTGACTGCAGACAAATCAATAATTACTTCTACATTAAATTACAAGCTCCCATTTGTGATGCCAGTGGTTTCTCAAGGATAAGATTAAGGATATACAGTTTATTTAGGTGCCAGGAAATGCAAATTACATAAATTCAGGGACAAAGATCTGCTTATTTTCTGTTGTTTCCATGAGGTGGGCAAAATTAACATTTGCTAATAGGAATTCCTATCTCTCGCCTCTAGTAAAATACCAGATACTAGTAACTATGGCACACCTCCAAAGCTGCATTAGTTCACCTGTGGCAAGAAAAAGCCCAGACTGACAGATGGGGAATGCATTATCCCAGTAAATGACATTTCAAGAGCTGAGCTTTAGGTCATGGAGGGCAAATTTTACTTTGTTTGACTTCATTAAAAGGTTTCATGCTTCAGCAGGGTATTTTCCATATCATAAAAACCAGATCACTCTTTACCGAGTGTTCATGGGTGATTAATGCTATTCACACATCAGTGAAATCTTCTTTTAAGAAAGCCAAGGGCAAAAACTCCCTAGCAGGGGTTCTGATCCAAAGCCCACTGAAGTCAATGAAAGGCCTTCAATTGACTCCAGCAGGCTTTAAATTGTACCCCAAAGAGCTGCAACAGTTGCATCCTTAGTGCAAGACTCATACCTCCTGCTTCTGTGTGTATCCCCAGAGTAAAGTAAGGGTGGAATCTGGATCAGAGACATTTCTGTTCTGTTGCCCAAAGCTATATCAGCATGTTACAAAGGAAAAAGAAAAAAAAAAAAAAAAAAAAAAAGAAAAAAAAAAACATATCGTAGATCAAAGTTAAATGGGATAAAGCTGATAGTCAACAGACTTGGACTGGGCATCTCAGCTTCCATACTAAGGTATTCTTGTAGATTCTCAACAGATCTCCAGTTCTTCATACCTGCTTTAAAGCCGTTTCTAGGAATGGGTTATGAGTTGCAGCTTCTAATGCCTTCTTTGTTCTTGAAAAGGATTGCACCTGAGCAACTTTGTCAGGACTCCAGTGTCCTAAACCCAGGCAGCGCACATCTGCTCAGAAGACCATATGGAAGGGTAGCTGACAGCCCTCTCTTTCAGGCTTGAACAATTTCAGGAATTGTGGTAGAGAGGCTATACACAACAATACCATACATTCACAATGTTAATTGCTGACTCCATTCAAAGTGAACATAAGTATGAGGCTTTATGGAAATCTTAACCTGAACTCATCATAAGATTGAGAATAATCCAGAAAATTTATTTGTCTAGATCTCCATTTTCCAGCTTCACCAGAGGTAAGAAGTAGAAATATCCATCTTCTGTGAAAAATAATCAATGAAATATTTGACCCTTACCCAAATGAAACCAAGAAGAAACAGAATTTTTGCAAGTCTGTTCTGTTATTTCCATTTTGAACTCTACGCTACTTGAAAAGAGATAACATTTGCAAACTCCTAGATGCTTAAAAAATGTAAATCATACAAAGTGAATCCAAAACTAATCTGAAGTACAAAATAAAATGGTAAACATAATAGCAATAAAATAAAATGGGTGAAGTAGAGCAAAGCAGTCTGCATATAATCCCAAGTTTAAATGCAATGAATATATCAAATATTTTTATAATTATAGATTAAAATTTTGTCTCATTGAAGGGAGTGGAAACTTTCTCATAGACTTCAGTGAGGCTATAATTTCACCTCCTATCATTATTGTTGCTGTAGAATCATACCTAACTATCATGTTTCATATATTTTGAAGCCTCAACAGAATATGATGACTCTGTTTGAGCTCTTGCTTAACAGAGGCTATAAAATTTCACCAAACGATTTTCTGCAGCTAACCCAAAAAGTAATGATTGCAGTACAACACATTTTCTGGGAAGACATTTTATCTAGCTTTAAAGACTTCAAATGACAGAAAATTTACCATATCCTTTGGCCATGTCTTCCAATGTTTAAGTGCCATTCCCGTAAAGAATTTGCACCTAATTTACAGTTTGAATTCTGCAGACTTCAGCATTTAACTTTCAGATCTTTTTGTCTATGCCTGACAGATGAAAGAATTGTTTGGTGTCAGGTGTCATTCCCCTTCACACTTTCTTAGAGATGCTGATTAAAAAAAATCTTTTCATCTTGTCTGTAAAAAGCTAAGTAAATTGAACTGTTTTAGTTTACCATCAGAAGTCTGTCATTTTTGAGCCACAAAACAATTTTATAACTCTTCTCTGAAAACTCCCATTGAGTCACGTTTTGACAACCTTTACCCTAGGATTAGACATGGTGATGGTAGTTATGGCATAAAACCGATGTAGACATCCCATCTTTATTTATTTCCTTCATTTTC